TGTTCCTGGCGTTCAGGAGGGACTGTCGCTTTGTCCCGCGATCGGAGGGACCAGCTCCAAGGTCGGCAGAGAATGAAGCTGTGGGAAACTACCCCCCGCCCGCCTCCCCTGCGGGGACGGCTCTCCCTCCCTTGGCCGCTGGTGCGGGGCTGAGGCCAGAACCAGGATCTCCAGGAAATGAACCGAAATGCGAGCCTGAGGCCGTCACCCTGGGCGCAGAGAGACGCGGCCAGCCTAGTGTCTCGGCCCGCGGTGCCTGGTGCTCAACCCCCTCATCCTGGGAAGTGGGTGCCTTGGAGGGGAGGGCGACGGAGGTGGACCAGGGGTGCCCGTTGGGGCAGGAAGCGGTTCCCAAGTTGGGGAGAAATGGTGGAGAGTTTGCCGCCCTCCTGGGCTCTGTCTCCCATCAGCGAGCTGGTGCACCCGGTGCCTCACGGGCGCTTTAGTGAGGAGTCCGCGTGGGAGCGCGTCTGCGAGGACCAGCGTGTCATCTCCACCTTGTCACAGGCAGCCCCCCCCCCCCACTTGCTGCAGGAAACCGGGGACGGCTCGTAGAGGAAGGAACCGGTGGTCTTCCCCGCAGGAAAGCTCCGTGCCGCACAGCTGGGGCAGCGGGCGCTGACCAGAGCCGGAGTCCGGCTCAGCTCCGGTCTCTGCCGCTTCCCTGCCGGCTCCTCCAAAGCGGTGGGAGGCAGGGTCGGAGGTCGGCCCGCACCGCTCTGACTTCTGCCCCTTGCAGACACACATGCTTAATGACCTCAGTGTGTCCAGCGTGCACGGTAGACTCTTCCTGGCAGGAGCATCGGGCTAGCTTCCCGGGGGACAGAAGCCAAAACCATTTCCCTGGACGTCTTTCCTGGGCTTGGAACCCAGTTGTCTTCGTGCGCAGGTTGTGCACAAGCATGTTCGGAGCTGCGGGGTCTGGACAGTCTTCTTCGGAAGGAAAAGGCAAATTGCGAGATGCTTTCCGGCAGGTAAGGGCCGTGGGCCCCCAAGGCGGCTTCGGTGGGCAGAACGGACCGCCGGCCCCGCTCTGGGGCGAGGACATCCAGGTGGCCTGCGTGCCCCCCCGCCCCAGGGGCTTGGTGGGCTCCCGGTCTCCACGGCTAGACCTCCAGCGCCCGCCCAAGGTGCAGCCGTCGAAATCATTCGACTCTGTCCGAGCCGTCTGTCCGGCGACGATGAAGAAATCGGACCCAGGAAACGCCAAGGAGGAGCACGAGGGAATCTCTGGAGGCCTCCCCGTGTGCGTGACGAGCGTTCTGTTCCTAACAAGCCTAGCGCACAGGAAGTCATGCCCCGATGGCTGCCGCCTCAGCAAGACTGGAGTCCCCACGTGCGGCTACAGGCGTCCCCGAACACCGCCACACCGTCGTCCTCAAAGGAACGTCATCTGACACTCTTAATTTCTGGTCGAGAAACTGGGGTCTGAGGGCAGAAACCGGTGAGCCCGAGGCCAGAGCCGGTGAGCGGCAGAGGGGGGCCTGCGGTTGCCGGGGCCACCGCGTGTCCCTCCTGGGCAGCTCAGGCCTCGCGCGGCCGAGGGGCAGGGCTCCCGGGCTGGGGCGGCACGTTCGCCCCTACTATGTCGCTCCGTTAGCACGGGATCCGCACGGTGTGGGCAGCGCTCGTGGCTGCTTTCGCTGTTGTTGATGCTTTAAGGTGAGGACGGGAGCCCGGTGGTCAAATCAGAGCCACAGCCCGTGTGTCCGATTCGTGCTCGGCGCTTTTCCGCAGTACGAAGTCTTTGGTCCCTTAAACCCGTTGCGCGTGGTGGCCGCCCCTCACCCTCTCTGGCCCCAGCGAGGCCCGAGGGACCGGGAGCTGGAGAGCAAGCAAGAGTGTGTGCCGTCCCCTTGCCGCCCCTCGCTCGTCCCCGGGGCCCACGTGGCGGCCACACGCGGGGCGCTGGCTGCGGGACCAGGTGTCCCGCGTAAGGCTCGACACACCCACGGCACCCTCCGGCTCTGGGCGTATCCCGCCCCTCTTTCGTCCACAGGCCCTCGCTTCACGCAGTGATGCCAAGACGGGGACCCTGTGCGGGGCGAGGTGGCCGGCTGTGCAGAGCAGGACCCCAGGAGAACAGGCTTTGCTGCTCCCCTCCACCGGTGTGCTCCCTGCTCCTCTCTTGGAATTCTTGCCTTTCCGACCTGCTTTTGGGTTCCCGAATACGATGCCCTCCTCGTCAGCTTGTAGCTACCCCTCCTCGCCTGCTGTGGTCACGCGCCTCCCTGGAAAAGTGGAGCTCTGTATTCCTAGAACAGATGTCGGGTCTCCCGGAATCCAAGAACTCCTGGTGGGGAGTTGGCTCTCAAAGGCCGGGGGCAGCGCTGGGACCCATCTGCCCTTGGATGGGTTACCTCTGATTTCATGGCAGTTCTCCTAGGCTTTCCTATCTTTTTGGTGTATTTGCAGAGGGCAGAGAGATCGACCACGACAGAGAGAGAGAGAGAAGGAAGAGTATTCTGGAAGGTAGGAAGGCGGTGCTCATCGACCCCGTTGGAGTTTCCAAACCACAGGGGCGGGAAGGCACTCTTGGTTCTGAGAGCTGAGAGTCAGCTGTTCATATTGTGGTTTCATCCAGCGGCCTTCCTTCCCTCCGCAAGCCTGTTTCAAGTGCTCTTGGTCACAGATGCTCAGACAAGTGCATTTTGAAACCGTTTACTGCCGCCCTTGCGATCCTTCCCCACGGCGGGTGCCGTCAGACCTCCAGTAAACACACCCACCTTCTTGAAAGAGTAAGGAATCCCAAGCTGCTGGGGGAAGACGTTCCAAGTAACGGGAAGTCCTTGCTCAGAGAGAAGACCCCAGCTGGAGAAGAGCACGGCCGTGCCACCTGCTGAGGCCCTCTCTGCAGAAAGGGGGTTCCGGGGGGCGGGTTCCGAGGTCCTCAGACCAGGCCGCCCCACCTTCCGTGTGCACCTGATGCACAAGCACCTCCTGAAAAGCATTTCGCGTCCCGAGCACCCACCGCATGGATCACGGACGCAGCGGCCCTTGGAACTCAGCCCGTGAGGGGCCTTCGGGGTCAGCGAGGACTTTGTCGAGCCCACGGGCTGGGTCTGTGTGGCGAATTTGCCCTTGGTTCCGGCTCAGGCTCTGTCTTGGAATTCCCGTCACTTAACAGGCATGTGAATACGTACACAGTCAGCTGGTACTTTCCGTGTTTTAACAGCCTTCTCGTGTGCATCCTCCAAAGCCAATCCCAATCCTACTTGGACTGGAACGGGGTCTCCATGACCGAACAAAGGATAAAGGCAGAGGAGGACCCATTTCCAGGAGCCTGCAGTGCGTCCTGTGTGCCTTACGACGTGTCCGCGTGGTCCCGCAAAGATGCTGTTGGGCAGAATGT